GGCAGGATAGAAAGACACGTATAACAGGTGTCAGAGCCCTGTGAGTACAGTCATGTGGCGAAGTGGTCCATACAATGGGTGTCCCGTGTTCAGGGTACACCACAGAGTTGACAAAAAGGACAGTGGCGTGACTGGCCAAGTCTGTGCTGTTTGCGAAGGCGAAACTAGCGCTCAGTAGAGATCACTTGAAGACTACAAGTAAGAGTAAACTCTTTTCCGAACAAGTTAGCAACATGATTGTCCCATGACTTACTGAGCGGGTTAAAGGGCCAAAAGGCACGAGGTGAGAGAACACATGATATTCGAGGTGCAGTGTTCGGACCGGAGTGGACGTGTTAGCAAGACAGAGATAGAACGTCACTGTCCCTGTCCTAGATCCATCCGGGTCGGTACTGAAATTATAAGTCACCTCCCGACTCACCGAACTCAACTATAGCTTCAGGGTGGACGGAGGAAAAAACGGTCCTTATCACTTGTGATGCACGAACAACTCCAACTTGACAATTTTGAAATGCTCTCCCCCAAGGGAAACATTCGAATGTTTCAAGGTGGTCTGGAGGCAGTAGTTGGCAAACTAGAAAAAAAAAAACCATTTCAGTCTTGCCGCCGGCTTCATGAAGCGTTTATCGTGTGAAGCGAAGAAACCAATCACTAGTTCGCACATGGATCTAAAAACTGGCCGTACCGTTCTGTTTTATTGTCGTTACAAAGCCATTTAAGCATGTTGTTACTGGCATATAGCCACACTGTTTTGTTTTTGTTTTGTTGTTGTCGAAAGCATTATTTTAACTGAAAGCGTTAGGTTAAGTGATTGTTTCGGTTTAAAAAAAAAAAAAGGATGTTTTCAGTTATCGCAGTGAGTATTTGTGCGCATGGCCTCTGGTCATTGTTAGTACGTGGCAAAGCACATGTCCCCCCCCCCCCCCCCCCACACACACAACCTGACACACACACACACACAACCTGAAATACAAACACACACACACACACACACACACACACACACATTTATTTAAAATGTGTTTAAGGGCGAATTGAGTCGGCTTCTTTGTAATAGTTTTACTTCATACGACTCGATACTCCGGTCCACAAAGCGTTCCACAAAGCACAGAACGCAATAGCTTTAGCTACCACTTAGGGGTTTTCGAAACGTCTGCTTCCTCCGCCTCGTGAAAATCCTCCTTACTAAAGCGTCATTGCACACGGTTTTAAACCATAAGTCCTCTGCCACCAGTACGGACAGCTGATAAGAAACTGTCCGAATGTGTCGCCGTCCGCACGTAACTCAGTAGCTACAGCGACGTTCCTCCATTCACCCCAGAGTGTCAACTCTGGTACCCATTTTCTAGAGGCTAGGTAAACCCCGGGAACCGCCCGGTTTCAAAAACCGGCCGTCGGCTGCAGCGATTCGCAGCTGGATTTCTTCTTCTTCTGCGTTCATCCGAAGATATAATTGCGTTGTGTCCGTTTACAGGACTGCTGCGATATTTGCACCTTTCGGCCAAAACATCCGACTTCTGCAGGCATTTGTTGACCGGGTTAGCCTTTCCGGTACAGCTGGATTTGAAAGCGAGCCTCCTATCTACTGCGCTAACGCGGCCCCATCCTCCTAAGTTTCATACCTAATGCGATATACGATGTTACTCATCTCTATCTCTCTCTCTCTCTCTCTCTCTCTCTCTCTCTCTCTCATACACATACGCACACACATATACAATTCCGACCCACCGATCAGGATAATGAGACCCACATTTTTAGGAGGCGTTATTATTATTATTATTATTATTATTATTATTATTATTATTATTATTATTATTATTATTATTATGCCTATAAACACGAAGGAGCTGCATGGTCGTAGTTCACGAGGTAGACCAAGAAAATGATGGAGAGGTAATATCCAGACAGGCTTACAAACACTTGGTGTCACCAACTAGAAAGAGAAGGCCAACCACAGAGATGAACCACGACCAGCTCTAGAGTGGAGAATGAGATAACGAAGAAAGCTGGCCGGACAACGCCCTACGAAACACAGACGAGAGGGGCGTATTATTAATTTTTCGGTCAGATGAAATTGTACAGCTGACCGAGAATCTAGGAAGGTGGAGACAAACAGGTGGACGGATGGCTGACAGCGGCGGAAAAAATCGTCTGGGCTTTGTGAAGAAAAGAGATGACGAAATAACAGAAAGGGGTAAGAAGGAGAGAAGAAGATAAGGAAAGCAGTTGGTCCAGGGGCGTTGAGCTGGGCGGTCGACAAGGATTGTACCGTGTGAGAACAGAGCAGTTAACTGTATGGACGAGAGTCAACCAAATGGAAAGCAGATATTAGACTTGGTTAAGAGTAATTGAGCTATATCTGAAAGAGAAAAAAGCAGAGAAAAGTGTCTTTACTTCATGTTAGAAGTGTGAAACAAACGTCATTGTAACTTATACTGAAGTGTTCATATTATTGTTTAAATGAAACGTATTCGTCGTACTTTTTTTGTCATTGAGTTTTATAATAAAGATACTTAATTGCACCCAATGTCCTACATTCACTGGCTGTGTTGTTAAACACAAGAAAGACAAAAAAAACTCCTATCATACATGTTCTGTTTAGTCATGCTTACGCTTGGGTAGCATGGAAGAATAAATTGTGTCACAAACAGGCATTGCACCATCTTTACAGACGATAGTGTTATATCCACAAACAATAAATGGGCTACTATATGCACACGATCAGTGCCTGCTATAAAATAAGGGGATTAGACTGCAGGAACAGTTGAATAGGCACTGTTCCGTCTTTGCAGACGTAGCGTAAAATCCACACACAATAAATCAGCTACTATTTGCAGACGATCAGTGCCTACTCTACAAAGAGGGGAGAAGACTGCAGGAACAGTTGAACAGGCAATACTCAGTCTTTCTAGAATAAAGTGTAATATCCATACACAATAAATCAGGTACTATTTGCAGACGATCAGTGCCTACTCTACAATGAGGCGAGTAGGCAGCAGGAACAATTGAACAGGTTCATTTCAACAAGCAGAAGATACAACATGAAATTACTACTAAAACTGAAATAATGCTACATATAGCGATAAATGGTAGTTCTCTGAACCAAGTTACAGAATTTAAACACCTAGTAGGTATATTATCGGAGGACGGGAGGATAGCTAGGGGAAAAATAAACAAGATTCCAACGAGCCAGTGCCGTTATGTACCAACGAACACCGTTATTAGGAAATCCAACCATAAGTATGAGCACCAAGAAACAGATTATAAACAGCATATTCATACCAACACCGTTCTACCAGTGCCAGACTTGGACATTATTAAAGGATAACCTACGAAAACTTAACACATGAAATGAGATGTTTGAGAAAAGCCGCCAGCTTAACCGTGGGAGGCAAAGTTAGAAATGATATTATCAGACAGACTGTAGCAACACCACCATGTAGCAAATTCATTGAGAAACAGAAGATCAAATGGTTTGATCAATTAGTGTAGCCAGAACAACTACCAACGCAGGCGCTACACATGAAACGATCTAAAGTGAAAGCAAGAGGCCGCCCTAGGAGAATATGGATTGATGACATTAAAGAGCTTTCACATCTACACAATGAAAATCGCCATTGTTGCCAATCAAGCAATGGATCGTAAACTGCTCCTCCCCACAATCCTTAATGGCAGAAGTGGAAATTGATGATGATGATGAGTTATATTGCACTATGGGTTGACATGAGAATCACAGCCATGGCGACGTCGAGTGTGACTAGCAAGACCTGCCCGCGGTAAAAAACGTCTTCATCATTTAGAGCAGGGGAATTCCCGAACCGTTGTTGTTATCACATATATTTTGTGTGCTTCTCCCTTGACGCTCAGCTCTCATCCTTTCTGCTATCATTTCTTCCATTTATATCCATTTTTTCCAGATATCCTTCCTCCATAAAACACGGTCCAGGCCAGTTTGTTCCCATGAATTTTCCTGAGTACCTGCACCATTTATGTCTCACTTGCACACATCTCTATATCGCAATAGAGGCCGACCTTTTTCTGCCCCCAGTGGAGCATAGGCCCTCAACCAACTCACACCAGCTTGTTCTTTCCTTCGCTATTGCATGTAGCTCAGCACATGTCCTCCACTTCTTTTTAACTTCACTCTCTTGCTCCCTTCTCCTTGTTGCCTTTAGTTATGTGTCAGTGTGGGTTCCAGTGCAAAGACATTCTAGATAAATGGGAGTGAGTGGTGGGCGACATCACTAACGATGCGGCCTTAAATCCTCAGGCTCAGAGACCTCCGTGCCAACCCACAATTTAGCCATTTCTCCTGGTAGGAATAAGTTAACAAAGTTTCACTGCCACATAGAAGAGTTCTGATAGCCTATTAGACAACCGTTTATGTTTTATAGTGTGCTTTTTGTTCTCCCAAACTCATTTCATTAGGCTGCCCATTTTTGTTGCTCTCTTACCTATTCTGATGTTGACTGAGTTCTTGGTCCAGTGATAGTTTGTTGATCACATGGAATTCAAGACATATAAACTGGTAAATTGTCGGGCTCTTCACTATTAATATAGACAACATGTCTATCATTATTACCTTGCATCACAATGTTTGTCTTCTTTTAGCTGATTGTAAGTCTAACTTCACAACATTCACGCGGAAATTCAGTAGTAATTTACTTTACATACAGATAGTATTTTAATTTACTTACAAAATATTAAGGCACACACGCTACATATATCAGGGCCTGTTTTTTCCTCTGCGTTCGCTCTTAAAATGGCGAATGGCACATTGCGTTTCAGTCCAATACGTCTGATTTCAGCAAATTTCAACAAATACTTAGATAGTGACCCTTTACGACATGCTTTACAGGGAGCATGGAGTATATTTTACTCACCCCCCCCCCCCCCCCCCCCCCCCCCAACCGCTCACTGAATTGTAATAAAAATAATAATGGAACCCTAGAATCCACAGTGGAAACACCAAAAGCCGACAACATTAGTCATCATCCTACCTTGCTGTACATCTCAGACTTAGCGGTGAGTACAGGCGTTAGCAAGTTGCTTTCGGATGGCTCCCTAACGCCTGGATCATAGAATGCACTTTGAAACGAGAAACCACAACGATCTGCTGTCAGCATGGAAGAGAACGCCTCCCTCCACGTACTCACATTGGAATGTGGAACAATAAACTCGTCGATGTCATTGAAAGACACAAGATCAAAGTATGGCATAGTTCTGTAGAGGCAGTCGTTGTTGGCCAGCAGTTGTCCGTAGTACCAGACGGATGAATCAGCTTCTTTGGGTAAGCGCCAAGGTATCACTGAGACCAGGTTTCTGCTGATATAATAATTTAAGGCATCGGAGACTTGTTGCGGGATGCTGTGGTTGTAGAAGATAAAATGCTCCACGCCCAGGAGTCGGGATAACTCTATGAATTCCACTACTCTATGAAATGAAATGTTCCCGAAAAGAGGAGACACACAAATAGCGAATGACAAAGTAGGCTCTGTTGAAGAATCTTTTTTTGTATTTGAACGGTCATCAGCACCTTCTTGTGTAGAAGACTCGATGCCATTCTTAATTTTAATATTATATACGTTGTTAGGTTTGTTGGGGTATACATCTAAATACATTAGTTTTTGATCAGGAGGTCGCACAGACAGTACAGGCACTTTTATCTTTGGACCATTATGAGTGATAGATATCGCTATAAAAGTCATATTTTTAACATTTATAATTATATCAGGTACTTGACAGGAGTAAAAGTATCCTCCAAATATTTTATTATGGTTTTCGCAAAGTTGGTAAACTTCTGTCTTGACTGGTATCACTTTAGAATTGTCATTGAAATGACAGTAGAAAAACCTCTTGGCCGCGTTTTGTGACATAAGTGCCATTATTCTCACGAAAGTTTGTTCTTTTCTGTCGTCTAGATAGGCAGAAAAGACATAAGCACCGTGGCCGAAGGAAATGAAATCTCCAGACGGCCTATTGCGGATATGCTTATCATGCATCGGTTCTAGCAATGGAACAGGATCTTGACCAATGGCATTAGCTCTCTTGTCTCCCGGATGTCTGTAAATAGGCTCTACATGGTTGTTCGATATTGAATTTCTAAATTCCAAACCCGGATTCAAGATACCGTTTCTGTGTTTATAGGAGGAATTATTGACAAATTCTGATCCAGGAGAGCGTTTGGAGTTCAACGCTGCTTCAGGGAAAATCAATGAGAAGGATTCCTCCGTTTTGGACGGGTGTTCAGTGAAGTTTACGTTCAGAAATAATAGAAAGATGGTGAGCACGTATGTAACAAGTACAATAGGCAGCAGTTTCCGGCACAAGAGTCTTCTTAACCATGCACAGTAAAACATAGTCAGTCCGTTAGGGATTAGGTTAAAGCTGAACACAAAACTATTGGCGTACACGATACAGCCAACAACGCAACGACTGCATTTAAAATAGATCAACGCAGGAAAATGTTTTAACTCTGTTAGACTACGTTATCACTTGAAAATAACCGGTTGGTGTAAACGACCAGTCTCACAATGCAGTGATTGCCTTAATATAGTCCAGCACAATAAAACAGTTAGTTTGTTAGAGTCTATGTTTGTGTCCCAGACGAAATATCAGCGTTGCTATTAATCAAACAAGGCAACCATTACCTTCAAACTGACTCTGTATAGTAAACATTAGTCAGTTGTTAGACTTTTGTTGAAACATGAAAGTTAAATTATTGATATCCCAAGATGCAATGATTACCCTTAAAGCTTCCCAGCATAGTAACATTTAGTAAATTTGTAAGTCTCTATGTTAAACCTAGAAATGAAACGATTTAATTATTTGCCTTATAATTGCTTGGGTGCAAACGATGAAGTCGTTTGTGTGAGAATTCAAACTCTTTTGGTAGTCAGCTTATTTACACAATAGTTCGTGAAAGTGAAACTTGTTGACCCAAAATTGGACAATTTTCAGGCAAGTGACCTATTGTGATGGTACATTGAACCAGCCTAAGCAATTGTAAGGAATGCAGTTTGCTCCAAGAAGTCTAATCCTAGTGCTATGTGAATGGCAGTCTGGCATCTGCAACACACTTTCAATCATCAGATGTTAAAGGGTAACTCGATGTTAGCAATCTTGCAGGCACGTGCTTGACATCATTGACGTTGTAATTGTTATGCAAGTTAGTAGTTCAGCAGAGGAGATGTCTACTTTGATGGTCTAAATTATCATGCAGTATTTGTGAGTTTTGGTTAAATAGAAATGCTATGTTTAAGTTGTGGTCACGACTAGCAATAAACTTGCAGGGATAAATCCAAAATCGTGCTGAACTGTGGTTGTTATTATTAGTTTAAATATCTCACACGCTGGTTCCGTTTCAGGGTGACTTTTTTCGTGTCTGCGTTTGCTATACCTGTGGAGTATAAATATAATCATATGAGAAAATTGCACCAAGATAATACATGGGACAAATAAAAGCGATCAGATATTAAGTTACGCTGACTTTAATAGTGGCTGTTTTCATCATCATCATTTTCATCTATACTATAATAATTTTCTTCGACTCACTTGTTCGGTGGTTTATAACTGTCGATATTTATTTTATTTGTTTTGTTTTATTTAAAGGATCAAGATCATAGCACACGGATATAACCCATAAGTGCTCTACTCTTCTTCTAACAGAAGCCTGATTCTTAAGAATCACAGCGCAGTGCACAAACTCCGTTGTACCTACCGGCTAGGATCCTGAAATGCCTTGGGTAGATTTTTAACTTCAAATTTTGCCTGGGCAGAGTCGTTAGGCTACTCTTTTTCGATTTCAACCTACCAAGGGATTTTTGTACGTGCGCAGCAATACACACGGGAGTCCGGTCTTAGTACCCATAGACCAGGGGAAATTATTAGAAGTCCACGAGAAAAAAATCCAAGCCTTCACCAGGGTTTGAAACCAGGACCTTCTGCACTCAAGGCGGATGCCATACCACACAACTGTAAATAAATTTATAGTTATCACTTCGTTGAGGTAAATGAAGATAGAAAATAAAAATAAATCGAAAAATTTGCTTTTAAAATTTAGGCCTAGTCCTACACGACCAATACACCTCATGGAAAAGTAAGCAGTCCTTTACGTACAAATTAAAGTAAAGATCCCTTTTTTAAGCCTTAGGCGCATCGGGCACATGGAAAGAGCGTCCCATATTTTTACAGACCAATCAGCACTGGGTGGGTAATGTGGTCAGCATTACGCCGGCCGTTTTTACTTCTCCAGGACAGTCATCCTGGTACCCATTTAAGGCTGGGTCGACCTGCGACGCCCCATACCACGGTAAAAATCCACGCAGCCTGCAGTGGGTGTCGATCGCGGTACGTTGGAATTACGAGTCGGACTCGCAATGTCTTAGTCCTTTACGTGGCATGACATATAGAAAAACCCGAAACAGAAAACCGTCTTCATACATGACTGCCAATAGCATATGACATGGACAGTGACAAGAAGAACATTTCTCACACTGGCTAAATCGTTGCTGACTTATGTGGTTTCTAAGACATAATTTATTTAGAGCAATTCTCTTTCTTGGTCGTAAATTATACACAGCCAGAGAATCTCCCATTCGCGACGCTAATTTGGACCGACCGTGTTGCCAGTATGGCCAACTTAGCTCAGTTTGGATGGTTCATTCATAATAAATAAATCGCATCAGTAGTTGTGTGGTAATAGAGAGGCTTGCTGTGTTTCAGTTGCTAGAAACAAGACCTCCCACAAAGGTTTTTTTTTTCTTCTGTAAGATATAAACCAAATAAGAAATTTCTTGATATATACATCAGAAATATTACGTGTAGGTTCTGAATAAAGTTAGAAAAAACAAATTCATCGCTGATTTTTAAAAATTTTACTCTCAACACTGAAAATTCAGAAGATTTCTGGAAAGTCCAGTATTCTCTGGGTGTTTTGGGTCGTGGTCAGGATCTTTGTCAAGGTACTTTTATTTTAGCTCACCGAAAACACGAGAATGTACAATATTATTGTGGTATTATGGTTAGAACTGGCGTTAGGGTTATTCTGTGTTTTTTTCATTTTCGGGAATTCTGAGGTTTCAGTGAGCTAAAATGAAAGTACCTTTTTAAGTCCCGACCGCCTCATAAATACCGTCACTCCTACCCCTAACCCTAACTCTAACCCCAACACCTAACGTGGACACCAACCCACAACACTCCTAGAATTTCGAACTTTACCAGAATTTACTGGATTTCCTTTGTTTGGGGTAAACTGAAAATAATGTACCAAATTATCTCAAATTAAGTCACTACAGTGGCACAGTATCATCAGCGGTGAGTCTCCCTGGTAAAACCGTTTGACTCTTTCTCCTCGTTTTGTGGCTTCAGAATCAATCCTTGTGTTCATGAGTTCATGCTTTTTAAAGATTCTTCGGGGTGGTCGCTGGATCTTTGCAGTTACATGTGTTGTGTTTTCGCGCTCAGTGGGTATGTGCAACTCTGCAGAGAAAGAGAGATAGAGAGAGCCAGAGAGACAGAGAGGGACAGAGACACAGAGATACAACGAGAGATGGAAAGAGACAGAGACCAAGAGAGCCAGAGACCGAGAGAGACAGAAAAACCTCAAAAGAGAAAGATATAGAGACAGAGAGAGGGAGAGACATAGACAGAGAGAGCCAGCGACATACAGAGACAGCAAAAGCAGCGAAAGATAGAAAGAGACAGAGAGAGCCAGCGAGAGATAGAGACAGAGAGAGCCAGCGAGAGATAGAGACAGAGAGAAACAGCCAGCCAGAGACAGAGAGACGGGGAGAGATTGAGGGAGACAGAGACCGAGAGACAGACCGAGCTACATGGAATAGAACCCAATACAGTGAAGTAGCACCTCTTGTCTTCAGGTAACTTTAACATTACCAATGGATGCAAGCAAACAATTATTTTAACATTTACAAGGTGACCCAAAATTGTATATTCTCAGAAAGCGCGCGCGCACACAACACAACACAACACACACACACACATATATATATATATATATATATATATATATATATATATATATATATATATATATATATATATATAATACACACACACACACACACACGTGAGGTAGCTTCAGAAAGTTCCAAGAGTTCGTATGTTATGTAGAGATAAGTAAAAATTAAATTATTTATACTAAATTTTCTGTAAAATATTTCCTTTGGTGACGATACACCTCTGTCAACCCTCATAAAGTTGCTGGAAACATTCTCGGAACCCATTTTTGGACACCTGTTTCAGCTGAATTTGTCGCATTATTGATTTAACCTCCTCAGAGTCTTTAATCGCTCCCATTTCAGTGCCGATTTGAGGCGAGGGAACAAGACAAATCAGCCGGTGCCAGGTCGAGAGAATATGTAGGATATTCCACGACAGAACAGCGTTGAGGAAGTGCTGCTTTAACAGTAAGGATCGGTGTGATGGCGCATTGTCACATAGCAGAAACCAACTGCTTTTTTTTCTCTCCATCATTCAGTGCGTTTCCGTCTGACTGCATCTCTCAGACTTAGAGTTGAGTTCATTTGAGTTAAGTTGAGTCAAGAATTGAGATCACACCACTCGGGGCATTCCCATGCGTGCTCAGTCCTCATCTTCAGCAGTTAGCGCAAAGTTCCAATACCGATGGTACCTGTCAAAAATCTAGTTATGTGTCCGTTTAGCCTTTCCTCTGAGTGAAGTGAGCCGGCCAGACCCTCTGGTTAAACCCTCTTAGACTAAGAAGGATACTAAAGTATATTTCCTTGTTAACTGTTAGGCCTTAAGGAATGAAATCACTGAGTACAATACCCTACGCTTCCAAAATAACTTTGCCTTTGTCCTTGTCTGAACGAAATTTATGTGTCTGGAAAGATGAGAGAGATTTCCATTTAGCGAATTGAACATTTGTTAGAGGATTATACACAAAATGCCATGTCTCGTCTCCAGTGATTATATTAGTGAGAGAATTGATGTCGTCATCTGTCACACTGATTAGGTTTCCTGCCAGGGACATTCTTGTTTCTTTATGTTTAGGAAATAACATTCTGATAAATCTGTGTACAAATACGGTGCATGTGCAATTCAGTGAGGGTAACGCTGTAGCGACTTCCATGTGTTTATTCTAGCTTATGAAAATATTTCCCTGACACCAATACTTCTGTTTTAAAGAAAAATACAGTGAGGAGATCAGGGACATGTCGAAAGATACCTGTATCGACTGCAATAAGATAAAGAGTGTCAATGTATGTTGGGCACACTCTGAGACGAATTTAGTATAGTATGACAAAACAAGCACTCCAATGGGAAACAAACGATCTGGACAGAAGAGGACTTCCAAGAACATTATTACGATTAGCTA